AGATTGCTTGGTTGATGGTGAGGAGAGATCTAGTGTTCCAACCGTATTGCCTTTGGAAAGAATAACTGGAAAAGTGCTTCTAATTAATTATAAGCATGTTTGGTCAGACATTCTGAAATGTTTGTATACAGGCATGAGTCACATTTTTGTAACATAACAAAGAAGATATGCCCACAGCAAGTGAAATCTAATATTATTCAAGATTGTTTCGCCATATCCATCAGCATTGTTGTGGCCTGTCAGTCGCTCCAGCAGCCGAATCAGAGGAGGAGGAGGCGTGGGACTCAGGGTGAGCATCAAGAGCTCCGAGGGGGAGGAGGGAATGGAGCTGGCAGAGAGAGAGAGACAGAGGCAGATCCTCTGAGGGTCAGCCCTGAGATGGAAAATAAACAGCCCCCAGATCTGGAGGTGGTTGATGAAGAAGAGGAGGAACAGCTGGGTCCAATGCCTGATGCACGGATGCGCAGAAGGCAGAGAAGAGGAGAGCAGTGGAAATCTATGGGCTGGTCCTTGGGAAGGAAGAGCCACCACTGCTAGTGAAGCCCCACCCTAGCTTTGGGGATAAAAGACAGTGGGCAGAGATGAATAGATGTTGCAGATAACTATCTTCCAGCTGGACAGACTTGTTAGCCTGCATTGAGAGAGAAACTTTTTGCTGGGGCTGCTGGGGCTCCTAATAAAAGAATCTTTGAGTTAACTTTAGAAAGTTTGTGGGGTTTGGAGAGCTGGATCAGAACAACTTTTTTTTTTTAAGCTTACTAATATTTTTCTTTCTACCTGCTTCTGGCCTTCAGAGGTCTCCTTTTCTATTCAGTTCTTATCATGATACACAGCTGGAAGGGGTAGATAATAGATGGAAGGAGAAGGAAGATTTCAAGCAAAGTTAGGCTAGTAGAGTAAAAACAAGGTAAAGGAATCCCTGTGGATTTTACTCCACTATGTGTGGCTCACTCTAGGAGGCGGTGCTCATCTCTATTTCAAGGCCATTGAGCTAACGCTATCTGAAGATATTTCCATGGTCATTGGCCAGCATAACATCATGGATCATTGTTACCTTCCCACTGAAGTGGTACCTATTTTTCTACTCACATTTGCATGCTTTCAAACCACTAGTTTG